GTTCCCCAGGGCCTGAGCTTTGCAATAACAGGATTCCCCAGCTGGTGGGGGCAGGCTGAGACATCAGGGAAAGTGTCACGCAGGCCAAACACACCAGAAGCTGGAAACTACACCCTGCCAAGGCACTCTGGAAGAAAGCTGTCAACCCGAGTAGGAACTCCTTAGGGGTTATGTGTCCTAGAAGCCTGATCACGACTGGCCTCTAATTCCCAGGGTTGGAAGGACAGCTTTCTACAAGGTTGGCAGCCCATTCTCAAGCTAGAAAAAGTTATGTGCTGTGGGTTAAGCCGGGACTTGCCACGTAAGCGCCCTTGCCTCTTTCCCAAGCTCAAGAAGGCTCTGCTTGTCTGTGGAGGCCACGACATAAACCCTTGAGAAACAGAATCTTACTTTAATGTTTTCCATTTTCAGATTCTTTTTTACCCCACTTATTTTTCTGTTTGTGCATTTGTATGTATGTGCCACAGTTCCTACCATGAGTGTGTAGACAGAAGTAGGTGCTCCTTCCACTCAGGTTGTCATCTACCCCACAAGATGGCATTTATTTGTTTGTTTGTTTGTTGTGTGTGTGTGAGTGCGAGTGCATGTGCTATGGCACACATGTGGAGGTCAGAAGACAACCTGGACAGGCTGGTTCTCTTCCTTCTATTATCTGGGTACCAGGAATTGACCTCAGGTCACCTTTGGTAGCAAGTTCCCTTATCTGCTGAACCATCTCACCAGCCAAAGATTTTTCTTAAAAACAAAACAAAACTTTGTTTAGATTTACTTTTATTATTTTATGTGTATGTGTATGAGTGTTTTGCCCACATGTGTGTCTGTGTACCACATTCATGTTGGTGCTTAAGGAGATGGTAAGCCTCCATGTGGGTGCTGGGTATCAAACCCAGTTCTTTGTAACAACAACATGTGCTCTAAGCCACTAAGCCAACTCTCCAACCCCGCCCCCCACCAAAGTTATCTTAAAAAGAAAAAAAAAATCACGCGCGCGTGCGTGTGTGTAAGTGTGCATGTGTACTGATACAGAAACAAAAAAAGAAGAGTGTTGGATTCCCTGGAGTTTTAGCTGGTTGTGAGTCACCCACTCTAAACACGAGGACCTGAACTCCAGACTGCTACCAGAACAGTAAGTGCTCTTAACCAAAATCCCAGAACAGTAAGTGCTCTTAACCAAAATCCCAAGATTCTATCTTTTTTTTTTAAAAATTATCTAATTTTAGCCAGGCATTGGTGGCTCATGCCTTTAATCCCAGCATTTGGGAGGCAGAGGCAGGTGGATCTCTGTGAGTTTGAGACCAGCCTGGTCTACAGAGTGAGTTCCAGGACAGCCTCCAAAACAATACAGAGGAGAAACCTTGTCTTGAAAAACAAAAACAAAAAAACTATTTAATTTTATGGGTGTGAATGTTTTGTCTAGATGTATGTCTGGGCACCATAAACAGAGTCCTCACAAAGGCCAAGAGAGAATATTGGGTCCCCTAGAACTGGAGTTACAAAGAGCTGCGAGCTGAGAACGGAACCTGGGTCCCCTGCAAAAGCAGGTGCTCTTAACTGCTGAGCCGCCTCTCTAGCTCCAATTTAGTCCTTTTAAAGACAAAAAGGTTGAGAGCTTGTGGCAGGAGGATTGCTCTAAGGCTAAGGTCAGCCTTCAATACACAGTGACACTCTCAGTCTTGGAGTCTTGGAGACAGACAGACAGACTCTCTCTCTCTCTCTCTCTCTCTCTCTCTCTCTCTCTCTCTCTCAATGGGGGAGGGCACTATCTACCTTGGCTTTACAAGTAGCTCAAGGCTTGTCTGAGCTGGCTGGACTTCAGCCAGAGCTCCCTCTGGTTATATTTGCCAGAGTAACAAGCATATCTCCTGGTGTAAGAAAGCCAGGGCAGGGACCTGAAGAATGTCCAGGCCCTACGTCAGCTCCCTCTGGCTCAAAACCAGATCTGGCTGCCAAATCCTATAGAAACAGACTTGGTTGCCATAGCAAAGCCCTTGGTTTTTCCCTTGATGTCCCCTTAGCACATCTTTTCCATCCCAAACAGGCAGGCTATGACAGCCAGCGCCCCTCGAGTGCCTTTACTTGCCTCAGTGAGGACCTCCCAGAATCTCTAAAAGCCCTGGGCAGAAGCCCATTCTGCTTCCTTCCCTCCCTGCACCCCAGCCTGACTTCTACCCTCAGTTTTCCTGCTGCTCAAACTCTGCATTGGGCCCTTATCTAGCTTTTCCTTCCCAGCATTGTGCCTGCTTCCCCCCCACAATCCAGCCTCTGCACCTTCCCTGGCCGGGCTGAACTTCTTCAGAGTTCAGAGAGTGAACTGCAACACCCCTCCTGCCCGTGGCACTAGTCTCACCTACTGTCCTTCCTTCCCACGTCTGTGGTAAAGGGATGAGGCTCTGTCTAGAAGTGCAAAGGTTCCCAGAGGAGAGGACTGGCCAGACCCAGAGCAGACAGAACTTCTGAGGTATATGTCATCTCATTTGAGTGTCCTGCTATCTCAAACAAATTCAACTGCTGTCAAACTTGTAACAGGTGTGACTACCTGCTTCTCTTGTGGCTTTGATTCCCTGGTGCATTCTTCTTCCCACCCACAGAAGCTGGGGTACAGTCACTTAACTCCCTGACGAGACAGAAGGTAGAGGGCACTGACCCGCCCAGCCCCATCCCATACTACACCCCTGTTTCTGGTACTCACAGCAGCTCCAACCCTCAAACCTGGGTTTCTTCAGGGTTATTCCCTCTTGTAACTCCCCAAACAACAGGTATCCCCCTGCATCTCTTGGGATTGGATGACCCTATTTCTCGGTTTCTGCCCTGTGACCTTTCTCTGCTTGGGACTTTCAAGTATCAAGTCCTACATTATCAGCTCATTCCTAGTGGTCTGTTTCCCTTCAGCCATATGACTCTTCCCTAGGACTCGTGTTCTGGGGATACTGGGAGTATCTATTGAAGGGGAGTTGGTAGGTTCCTCTCCAAGGATTCCTCGTGAACAAGCCAATCAGAGAACTGATAAAGTACTAGGTACCCACTTGCTTACAGGTACCCTGGCCCACAGTAAGATACAACCAGCTGATCAGTTTTAAAGGTGGGCACAGGCTGGCACTTCACACACATGGTACTTGTGGCAGTGATCATGACCATGGGCCACAAACTCAGACAGACCTGGGTTCAAAGTCCACTTTGACCACTCCAGAAAGGAACCACTGGACAAGTTGCTTGACTTTGAAAGAGATTGGATTTGTCACTATAAAACACAGTAATGGATCCAAGTCTGAAAGGAGCTGCCAGAGATAAGACATAACCAGAAGCTACAGATACACCAGCAGCAGCAGTACCTCTGAGAGACTGGAGTAAAGGCTGGAAAAGGCCAAAAGGCCAGCCCACAACAAGCCAGGGAGTGTGTGGGCACACAAAAGCTGACCCAAGCTTTGTCCCTTCTGCTCCCTCCATTGCCATCAGGAGCCCAGGAGCCCCAGTGCACCCTCAGGCTAGTCCCTTGCTAAGCTGGGCCAGGCAGCCCATCTTAGACCCTCCTTCAGCTGACCTTCTTCCTACTTCCCACGCCAGGCATTGCTTCATCCACGATTTATACCCAAAGACTGTTTAATCTGAGGAGCAATGACAGAGAACCCCATTTATTTCTGTTTGTCTACCACAGATCAGAACTAAAGAGCCCATTTTGATTCATTTCCAGAAAGACTCTGATATACAGCTACAAGAAGTTACAGCAAGGAACTTCTCGGACTTGGACACCAGTCTTGGCCACTCCTTCCTGGTCTGTGGTCACCTTGGTCAGGTTGCACATAGTGATTCTCACTACCTGAAGGAACACCAGCCAATAGATGCAGGAACCTCAGGGTACAGGAACTGGAGTTTCCTCCAGTGTCTCCTGGAGTACCTTTGTGACTGAAACAGTTCCTGCCACATAACACCCCCCCCCAGGAAAAAAAAGGTATCTGGGCACAGCAAGGCCCAAAGAAGACTGAAGAAAAAGACTGAATGGTTACTAAATGAAGGCCAGCGTGAACAAAGGAATGGACCTGTGCACGCATGAGGGCCTTGAGGGGAGATGAGACTGAAGTGGCAGACATCTCTACACCTCAGCCTCATCTGATCATCTTGGCCTGCTTCAAAATGTCCAGGCTGGGACAACTGGCCAAGTGAGGGTTAGAAAGCAATGATTCAGCTTCCTAGTCCTTCCTGCAACTCACATGAACGATAAAGTTCATCATTATGCATACCAGAAGGTTCTCAGACTTTGCCCTGATCTGCCTCCTACCTCACCTATAGAATTTGCTAGCTTGCTCCAAGCCCTTTCTCACAGGGCCTTTGTCCCTCTTGCTCTTCCAGCAATGTCTCAAGATTGTTTCTCCATTAGGTCTTTGGCTAACTGTAGCGCTCCCTACTAAACGATTTAAGAACGCTCAACAAGCACTTTACCTGCTTTCACTTTTGTGGACTTTTTTTTTCCGTAATATTTAATCACAGTTCCTCATGATTTTGTAACTCTTTTGTCAGTCGCTCGCTCCTTTTAAGAGTAACAGTTCTGGAGTGTGAGTTGCCACAAGGAGACACTTATTAAAATCTTGGAACATTTTTGTTGTAGCAAAACATGGCTGTGGGTACTACCACCATCCAGGGAATAAATCCAGAAATGCTGCTCAACATCCTACAATGCACAGGACCCTGGAGGCAGAATGTTCTGTCTCGAAACCGCGTACCAGATGAGCTTATCAGTTTGGAATCCTGCTCTCTGCGGACTCTCCAGAGCTTAGGATACTTTCTGGCACACAGGCAGCGTTCAATAAACGTAGGAGAGCAAAAGGAACGAGAAAGAGAGTAAAGGAAGGAGTGACAGACCGGTCTGCGGAGAGTCAAGTGGACCCCAGCTGTCTCAGTCCCGCCCCCCAGGCTAGGCCCACGACCGCTTGTGACGCTCCCATGCCAGCACGCGCCCTGCCGCACAGCACGGAAGAACGAGACCCAGGAAGAACGAGACGCGAGAACACTCACCTGCCCGCGGCTGCCTGGGAGCAGCGAGTACACCCTCCGGCATCATCTTGCCCCCTCGGCCCGGAAAGGTACAGGATACAGGAGCCGGAAGGGCTAGGGCGCTACGCACGTCGGGACTCGTAGTTTACGGACTCCTGGAACTCCGGCGGCTGATTCACACTTAGAATTTCATAAACTACGACTTCCGGCGACCTCGGCACTAAAGGACCGAATTGGTGGCTTCAGAATCACTCTATGTTGCAGGTCGGAACTTGATTGGCTAAATGCACTTGTCGCTCATGTACTCAAAGGCTCTACAAAAGGAAGGATCTTCGAGCGATCCAAGATACCGCCTCCAGAAGAAAGTCTACGGTATGATTGGTGGAAAAACGCATGATAGCTTGAGAAACCTATCAGCAGCGAAAGAAGGTGGGTACTTCCTCAGAGACTGTCCAATCACATAAGGGGCAGTTCTATAAACGCTTAAGCTTCGGCAGCAGCCGGTCTTTTGGGAGTGAGCGAGTGTTGCAGGCTGGCGTTTTTGTGTCTGTCTGTGAGACACGTTTTTGCCGGCATTGGTCGCCAAATGGAATTCGTAGGGCCGCTCAACTGCAGGCCAGCCTTTCCTCGACTGCTGCGGAAGTCTGGGCTCTGCGTTAGCCGTTTTGTTTAACGTATCCCTTCAGTCTTCTGACTCCTGTTTTGGAGGTAAGATAAGTCGGGCCTGGCTTTCCTTTGTAGCACCAAGCCTGTGATGAATTGCTTTAATTTCTGACACCTCGTATGAAAACTGCATGTGCAGTCTGATTACATTGCAAGACTGAGGCTTGGGAGCTCTACCTTTAATTGAAGGACTGAGGATGAAAAGTTACCGAAAGTAAAGATTTCTGTTTTACTTTCAGGGCATGGTGAGTTGTGCTGCACGCCTTGACTTGCATCCAGTCAACAATGGGCAGAAGGATTTGCTGGTAAGCTGGGCATCTATCTGAATAAAATTGAAAGTACAGTCTTACTCCGTTTTCAGATGTCGTTATTTCATGTACTGCCGAGGGCCTAACTTCTCACGTGGTCTGTAACGGCGTGAGTCATGAAAGTAAAGTTTTTTTAGAACTCTGCTCCAGGGTGAACCTTTAGCCTGTTCTGTGTCAGTAAGAGGTTTTGGGCATTCTGGTCTTGATTTGATAACCCAGTTTTTTTTTATTTTTCGAGACAGGGTTTCTCTGTGGCTTTGGAGGCTGTCCTGGAACTCACTTTGTAGACCAGGCTGGCCTCGAACTCACAGAGATCCGCCTGCCTCTGCCTCCCGAGTGCTGGGATTAAAGGCGTGCGCCACTACCGCCCGGCCTTGTTTTGGTTTTTAAAGATATATTTGTTATGTATGCAAACAGACCAGAAGAGGGCACCAGATCTCATTACAGATGCTTGTAAGCCACCATGTGCTTGCTGGGAATTGAACTCGGGACCTCTGGAAGAATAGCCGGTGCCCTTAACTGCTGAGCTATCTCTCCAGCCAGTTTCTATGGGGGCTTATTTTGGTGAGGAAGTCAGAATAAGCCGCAGGAATCTGCTGGCCCTGGAAGGTGGTTTTTTTTTTCCACAGACGACAGAAGCTCCAGAAAACACCTTTATTAATAGGGAATTTTGACGACAGGTTTTCACTCAAGTTTGGGGCTTGATGGCACAGCATGGAAAGGAATGGGGCAGCCTGCTGGGTGGTGACTAGGTCGTGTCGAGACATCCTGTGATCCCACTCACTGCCTGCTAGTTTCCTCTAAGCCTCACAGTAAGGGCTGGAAGAAGGCTACTGTGGCCTGGAGACTATCAAACGACCAATAATGACACCCTGGGTGGGGTCCTATCAGGGCTCTGTGGTGCCGTCTCTGCTACAAGTTCCCAGGAGAGGGCAGTAGAGTGCCGTGGTTTGTATGCTTCAAAACCACTTCTGTGACGGCCTCTGGGACAAAGGGGGTGATAGCGTTTAGCCTCTAGAGTCTTGGCAATGGGCATAGATTTCCGGTACAACTCCGAGGCAGTGTTGCTTCCTCAAGAGTGGAACTGGTATCAGCCAGATTCAGAGTCGACAGCATGAGACCCCTCGACCCTCCCTCTTGACATACTCGTGCAGCCTGAAGTGCGGCTCGCTGGGAACCTTTGTAGATCGCTGTTTCAGCTCCCTGCAGAGCAGGGATGACAATAGAGCGCATGAGCAACCTCCTCAGTTTCATGGCCTGGAACATAAAGGCAGCATTTCTGTTCACTGTCAGGACTTACTTAGCTATGGCTGTGAAAGCCAAGTCCACGTTGAGGCCGGTCTTTGCGCTGGTTTCCATGAACGGCAGCCCAAACTCCTGCAAACAGCTGCTGCCAGCATGGTGCCGGCCGAATGGGAGCAGCCCCAGCATTCCAGCCTTAAGGACACCCTCATCACCCACCCTGCTTTTACTCACCTTCGCTAATTTCTCCCCATCTTCCCTCTTTACCACACGTTCTTGGGTAGAGTCGACCTGGCCCAGGTACAGAAGTTTTGTTAGTGCCAGTCCATGGCTTGCCCTTGTAAGCCAGGCTGAAAAGAATAAGTTCACTTTCCCACCTTGTTTCCCAGCAGCATGAGTACCACATCCTGCTGGGCATACTCCTGGATCTCGGTCAACCAGGCCTGTATGGGGAGAGCTGGGACCAGTTTCAAGGCTGGTCCTTGTCCTCTTATGCCACACCTCTTCGGGTGCCTTTTCCTAGAAGCCCTCCCATGTGGAACAGGTACCCACCTCGCTGGTACCTTCTTCAGGTGATCCCGCAAATGGAGTCAGATGTCAGGCCGGATGGATTAGTGAATAAACCAACTTGGCCAGCATGAGCTCAGAGAGGTTTATCGGTTCCTATCCTTACTATTAGCAGGGTTAGAACTCTAGGGACCTTGATGCCATCTAGACAATCTGGGCCCATTCCCCCACCAGGAAGGCCACTGACCTGGATGTTGTCGAAGGAGTCCTTGTTGGTGATGTCATAGAGCAGCAACAGTGCTGGACACAGAAAGTAATGAGACATCCCTGGGGCCCAAGTGGTTCCTTAACTACCCACATACTTTTAATTAGACATTACAAGTCACAGGATATGACATCACCCTCTCCTGTCCTATGCTCAACCCCTGCCTCCATGCCAGTAGGTCACCCAGACTCCCTATGGAGAACTGGTGCCCATCTCTAAGGGCTTACCATGAGCATCCCGGTAGTAGGCATGGGTGACACTCCGGAACCGCTCTTGACCAGCTGTGTCCCAGATCTGTGGCAACAGGCACTGGTCATACTGCCCAACCTCTCCCTGGTGTCTCCAGCCCCAAGCTTGCACTCCTGCCACCTCACCTGCAGCTTCACCTTCGTGCCATCCACATCCAGAACTTTATTCTGAAACAGAGCCAGCCGGCAACAGGAAGGACGCCTGTCATCCTCTGGCCTGGGGGCTCCCGAGGTTGAATTAGGAGAGGAAGTCTTGCAAGCCATGACTAAGCCCCTGCTGACGGGAGGTTGGGGATCCCTATTCCATTTCTACAGCACCTCCTGGTTCTGCTCTGAGAACTTAAACCAGCCTACAAGTCACATGCTTAAAATCAGATGCTCCAAGCAGCTGCCTGGCACTCCCTGCCAGCATCAACCCCCGGGGGATCCTCTCCAGATGACCCTGCCTGGGCCCTTCCTCAGATGGCTGCCTGGTACTAGGTTATCATGGCCGGACTTTGAGGCCTTGCTTACCACAACCCCCACCCCCGCACACCAAGTTCCCACTTGCCAAGAGTATAGTAGCACTGCTAGTGTACTACTCCTGCTTAAAGATTTCAACTAGCTTAAAGTCATCCACGTACAAATGGTATACCATGCCTCAGTTCCCCCACCTGTAAATAGGGATAGATAGGGCAACTTTAACTTAATGAGCTACTGTGTACACTGAGAACTACATCCTGCCCGGGAAAGCTAATTTCATCCCCCACCACCACTAGGACACCCATTTCTAAGGGGATGGATTTAGGACTGACTCTACTGTGCCCACAGAGCCCAGAACTATGCTGGCACATGGGTATATTCATAAACTTGCTGTCTGCAGATCTAGACCTGTCCCTTTCAAGGTTAGACACCAGGCTGGAGTGCCCACCCAGCTGTCACCCCAGAGAAGGGTTGACTGCAGGCTGGGCCATGGGAGGCTAGGTCTAGCTCCCCTTTCTGCTGAACCGCTGTCAGTGCTTCTAGGTCTCCAGGGAACCAGGCTCAGCCATCTGCCTGGTGAGGGAGGGTACTTTGCCTTTCCTGCACCCTGAACAGGGGTGCAAACCACACAGCCCTACCTCCCTCACCTTCCACCCAGGAGCCAAGAGAAGGGGGAAGGGGGACAGGGTAGGCAAGGAACACCTGTCGAGTTTGTCCTGCTTCCTCTGGCACTTCAGCCTTTCCTTCATCCTGAACTCTAGCACCTAGAGGGCTTGAGGAGACCTGCAACCCTCAATAAAGAAAATTTCCCACTAGAAGGACCCCCCCTTTCCTGTCCCCAGAGTGGGTCTTCCTCCCAACCTCCTGCTAACTGGGTCTAATTAAAGGGTGAGAAAAATGCAAATTCAGGATTTGCCAAGAACACACCAGCACCTCAGCACATGAGATTCAGACTGGGCAAGGGGGTTGGGAGGGCTGTGATGCTGGGGCTCCCAGGGCCCTGCCTGGGTTCCTAAGGCGGTCTCTTCCAAGTTGCACTGCATTATAGGAACTAGAGAGTTCCCAGTACCTCCCATAGCCTTGGGTCCCCTCTTTGGTGGGAGAGCAACCCTGGCCTCTTTGAGTGAACGCACAGGTCTTGAGTTCCCTCTCACTGTCACTACCCTAGGGCACAGGTGTAGCTCAGCAGAGCATCAGTCTGTGGTAAGAACAGAACTCTCTGCTGCAGCTGAATGGCGGTACCTTGGGTGTTAGGAGCTTCCCCAGGACCCTTGAGTGTTGGGAGGTAGCTGGTTTGGCAGCTAAGCCTATGGACACATCGGGAGATGGAGAATCAGCTGGCCAGGGTACTGGGAAGACTACGTATAAGAACCATAGTACAGCTGCACCGAGCCAGAGCTCAGGACATCAGCCTCCATTCTCACCCGGAAGTCGATGCCCACAGTGGAAATGAAGGTACCAGCCAGGAAAGCTCCATCCTTGAAGCGCACAAGCAGGCAGGTCTTCCCCACACCGGAATCCCCCACCAGCATGACCTAGAGCAAACAGGAGGGTCCAAAGAGTCAGGTATGGGTCTGAGGTCCTTGCCCACCTAGAGATGCTTCTGGTCTGCCTTGAGCTATGGGGGAGGGGCAGGAGAGGAAATGAGTGTTCTAGGCCTGTAGGTTCAGCATAGCTTGGGGAAACACAGCAGCCATAGTCCCCAATAGCTTGGATGCCCAGCTTCTCTGCCCCTGGTAGTCCCGTGTCACCTCTCCCTCCAACAATGCCACCTTAATCAATGGGGAGTGAGGACCACTGTCCCCATCCAAGGTCTTACCTACCCCTCCTCCATAGACATCATGCTTGATCTGGGAGGGCAGCATTTGGGGCCTATGGGGAGCAGAGCATGAGAAGGCAGCTGGGACCTCCTAAGAGACCTGTGGGGACTCAGTGCCAGGGGCTTCTTCAGTTCCAGCAAAGACACAAATTTCAGCAGCAAGGCTCAGTAGAGGTGTGCCAAGCAGTCAGCGTTTGAAGTGAAGAGGGGCTAGGGATCATCTGTGGGCCTGAGGGGCAGACCGGCAAAGTCTCTCCCTGCCCCCCACCGGCCCTGCTGCCAAAAGCTCCAAAACCCAATGACGGCCCTGCCTTCAGAGGTCAAATTCACACAAGCTTCAGTTTTGGTCTGGGGGTGGCCACTTTCTCATCCCTTCCAGAAAAAGGAGATTTACAGCCCCTGAGGGAGAAGGAAGGCAGCATATGGATGGGAACTGACAAGAGTGGAGCAGGGGTAGGACAGCTTTCTGAAGTCCTTGCTTGGTCTTACAGTAGGTGGAGTAGGGGCAGGCCCTGCCAGCTGTTGAATACCCCAAACCCAAGCCTAATATGTGTGTTTGTGTCAGTGTGTACGCGCGCGCGTGCACGTGCGCGCGGCAATCTGAGGTGCTGCCTGGCTAGCTGCTAGGTGCTGCTCTGGCCAGTTCAGCGGCAAAGGTCCGCACGGCCCTGCACTCTTCCCCAGAGGCCCTCCCGGTAGTCTAGTATCCAACGCCACCTGCTGCACTCCCATGGCGGGGAGGTGTCTAGCTCACCTTGAAAGCAACGTCGTAGAAGTCTCCAGTGCCACCAAGTGAGGGCCGGCCGGACTGCGGGGGCCCTTTGGGCAGCGCCTCAGGGCCGGGACGCGCCGTCCTGGAACATGCCAGACGGGACCGATTGGCGGCGGTGGGCAACGTAGAGGCAGCAGGCACACTGCCCCCCTTGTTCTTGGGGGTCTTCTTCCTAGACATGGTTCTCACAGTGTGCTCCTGCTGCTGCCACCGCGCCCTGGGCCGTCCCACGCCCGGTGCCCGCCAAGCCAGACTCGGACCAGAACCTGTCCCGCAGCAGCAGCAGAAGCAGCAGCAGCAGCAGCAGCAGCATCTCCAGCTCTCAGCGCCCGCCCCGCCCCCGCCTCCTTGGCGGTGCAGCCACTCGGGCCCAGCCTCCCGCCGCCGCAACCAATGGCCGCTCTGAGGCGGAGCCTTGCAAATAAGCCCGCCGCTCCGGGGGCGGAGTCCCAGCAAGGCTCTAGGTTCACCCAAGGAACGTGCTCTGGTTCTCTGCTAAACTCAAGGACCACAACTGTCTGCGTCTAGTGTGAAGAAGCCCCAGGATCCTGTGTCTTCTCGGTGCACTGCTCCATACCCCAGTCTTCAATGTTCCAGCTTAGTAACCTAGCTCCAGACCTGAGACATGGGTGTGTTCTGAGATGAAGAGACGGGGCAGAAGGCTGAGTAGGCAGTCTGAGATTCCGTTTCTTCTCAGCAAGAGATGCCAGCCACCTGACCCACTTGTTCTCAATGCTGTACCCTCCAAGTCAGGCAGTTCCAGGAAGCTCCCACACTCAGGCTTTACAAACAATCCCTGCTATGCCTGAGCACTCTGGGCTCAGCTGATCAAAGGCATAGTGGGTATGTTGCTTTTCCTCACAGACTTTGTCACCTGGGCTGAAGCATGGGTATCTGAGGAAGGAAAGGAAGTGGGTATCACAGCCAGCATCAGGTCCTCTGAGATAGCCCTTGCAAGACCCCTGACCTGAGAGCCTAGCAGATAGGCGGTTTCTTCCCCAGAAGTGACTGATCCACAGTCTTTCCATCCTAGTTTCTCATGCAAAAGTGTCCGTGTTAATTCTCTAGACCCCAAACTGGTCCAGGACCTGGTCTTCCTACCTCCAGGAACTGACTCTATTGCCTGACCTACGCTGACTGGAGGAGCTCTGGCCGAAGCCTCTCACCCAAGACACTCCAGTCTGGAGAATGAGACTTCAGTGATCAGAGGTGAGGACAGTGTGTGCAGGGGGTGCCCTTGGGACAGGGTATTTCTTGGTGTTCCTCTGGAGTGGCTAGCTGTCCTCCTGTCACCAAAACTCTAGGTCTCTTGGAGGCCTCCCGAACCTTCTAAGCTGGCAATGACCAGAGCATGAATAATTAATTCACTGCCTCTGGGCTCAAGGCCTGGAAGGACCCAGATGGAGGCATTCTGTCTAGAGTATTTCCTAGACAGGGCCTTGCTGCGGCCTGCACTGACCGCTGTCATGTGCTAGGTATGCTAGTCTGTGTGGTGGGTATTGCTATTGCTCCCCATGGTCAGATGGGAAAACCGAGGCCCAGGAAGGCAACAGGGAGCTACTGTCCATGATCACCAGGTTAGTATATGGCCCCAATAAGGCTGCTCTTGGGAACTCTGGTACAACTTTACCTCTCAGGGACCTGTTATTGTAAAGCAAACACAGCAAAGCCTTAGACCTCCTTTCCCTGACTCCCTACACTGACCCTCCTACCTCTTTCAGGCCAGTCCCAAGATCTGTGTGTCCTGACCCTGAGTGGGAGTACTGGGCCCCACCATTGCATCCCCTGAGGGTGCCAGACATCCCACTCACAAAGCCAACCTCAGGATGACTGGCCCAGGAACTCAGCTGGGAACCTCAACAGGCTGCGCCTCCTTGCTCTAAGAAGTAGATCACACATCCTCCTTCCAGCTGCTGCTGCCCAGAGTGTGTCCAGTAAGTGGGATAAGAACGAAGAGTTTAAGTTTAGATGCTCTGGGGCAGGGGCTGCGAGTGCGGAATTTTGGATGTGAGTAATGAAAATAGGGCAGGCAATTAGGAAGAGAGAGAAGGAACAGGCAAGCTAGGAAAGGTGGGAGGGCAGCAGAGGAGGGAGCTCCCAGCACAGAGGAGACAGACATGCCTTTAAAATGACGAGGGTTTACATAAAATCCAGGTCTCTGCTGTCTCCTGAGAAACCTCAAGTCCCAGCTCTCTCCTCCCCACAGCTCTTCTCATCTTTGATCACTATATCTCATGGCTCTTCTGTTCCCATCTGTTTCTCACCCCGGAATGTAAGCTCTCTGGGCACAGGAAGCAGCTTGTCTTGGTCACTGCCATATCTCTGGCAGCCAGCTCCCTGCCTCAATGAGCAGTACTAAATTGGCGAAAGAAATGTAAGTTAGAAACTAGGCATGGTGGTGCACGCCTTTAATCCTAGTACTTATAAGGCCAAGGTAGACAGATCTCTGTGAGTTAAAAGTGAGAGCCTGGTCTACATTGCAAGTTTCAGGACTGTCAGGGCTACATAATGAAACTCTGTTGTGGGGTATTTGTTTAGACAAAGATGTGTTACATTTATTTGTGTTGTAGAATATTTCATTTCGTTAACTATGTAAAAGTTAGCAGGGTGGTGGTGGCACATGCCTTTAATCCCAGCACTCGGGAGGCAGAGGAGGCTGGACTGACAGCCTCCAAAACAATACAGAGAAACCCCGTCTCATAAAACCAAAAAACAAACAAACAAAAAAATTTAAAAGTATATTACAGTTGTTTTTTTTGGGGGGGGTCTGGGTTTTTTGTTGTCGTTTTGTTTTGTTTGTTTGGTTTGGTTTTTTAAGACTGGGTTTCTCTGCACCTTTGAAGCCTGTGGTGGAACTCACTGTGTAGACCAGGCTGGCTTCGAACTCACAGAGACCCACCTGTCTCTGCCTCCTCAGTACTGGGATTAAAGGCATGTACCACCATCGCTGGCAAAAGTGTATTACATTTGTTTATGCTACACTTGCTCAATGATGTAAAGATGTGTTGCTTTGCCTGTCTATACAGCACCTAATTGGTCTTTTAAAAAACTGAATGGCCAATAGCTAGGCAGTAGAGGGGTAGGTGGGGCTGGAGGACAGAGGATAAACAGGCTCAAGAGAGAGGAGAGAACAGAGAAAAAGAGGGAGAAGCCTGGAGCTGGCCAGTCAGCCAGACTTGGAAAAGACTTCAGATTCACAAAGATAAGATAGATGATAGAATATTTTCTTTAAATCTTGCTAAATTTTTTAAAGGTCTATTTATTGATTATGGATATAATGTTCTGCCTACAGGCCAGAAGAGGGCACCAGATCTCATTACAGATGTTTGTGAGCCACCATGTGGTTGCTGGGAATTGAACTCAAGACCTCTGGAAGAGCAACCAGTGCTCTTAGCCTCTGAGCCATCTCTCCAGCCCAAATCTTGCTAAATTTTAATAGACTAAATATTGTGATTATGGTTCTTGCTTAATAACTGTTTTGTTATATATAATTTTAAACTATGTTAAAGTTGAAATCCTTTTTATTTAGACAGAAAAGAGGAGATGATGGGGGATGTCCCTCTGTATATGTTTCTTATTAGTTGATGGATAAAATACTGTGTGCCTAGTGGCCAGGCAGGAAGGATAAGCAGGGCTACCAGAGGAGGAGGATTCTGGGAAAGGTAGGCAGAGTGAGCATGCCGGAGAGAGTTGCGATGCTGCCAGAGGAGTAAAACCATGCCGGGCATTACCAGGTAAGCCACAGCCTCGTGGCAATACATAGATTGATAGAAATGAGTTAATAATTAAGACAGAGCTAGCCAATAAGAAGCCCTAGTCGTTGGTCAACAGTTTCCTGATTAATATAGCATCTGTGAGTTTATTTGGGTCTGATGTGGTTGTGGGACCAGGCTGGTGGGAAGAACCATCCACAACAGGAAAAAGCAGGAAAAGTAGGACACACAGAACAAAAGAAAGGTAAAAAAAAAAAACTGAGGCAAAATGTAGATGAAGAGAAACAGGTTAAATTAAGTGATAAGAGCGAGTGGGACAAACATAAGACCAAGCATTTACAATTAATATTGTCTCCATGTCATGATTTCAGGGGCTGGCAGTCCAAGAAACCTGTCTCAAACCCTGTCTTGAAGTTAATTACATAATTAAAATTAAAATAAAGAGTTGGGTATGCTGGGGGCATGCCTTTAATCTCAGCACTTGGGGAGGCAGAAGCAGGTGGATTGAGGCCAGCCTGACCTACATAGTGAGTTCCAGGACAGCCAAGGCTATATTGAGACTCTATCTCGAAATGCAAAACAACAACAAAAGAAGATGCCTAATTCTTTGTTATTTTTTCCAGTAATAGAGTGAGTGGGTCTATGTCCCCTGCCCTTGAATCTGGGCGATAGCAATGATAAAACAGAAGTGAGACAGTGGTTTTCATAATCTGGCTGCCATGACTAGAAAACGCCCACACAGCCAATGGACAGAAACTGAATAAGCCGGATTGCTGACAGAAACAGCTCAGTGGATGGTGCTATGTCAAATAAGATTTTGCTATGTAGCCCAGACCGGCCTTAAAATCACAGCCTTCCAAGTGCTGGGATTATAGTGAGCCACCATGCTCTTCTAGAGATGAGTCTTTTTTTATTTTTATTTTTTAGCTTTTTTGAGACAGGGTTTCTCTGTAGCTTTGGAGTCTGTCTTGGAACTCGCTCTGTAGACCAGGCCTGTCTCTGCCTCCCAAGTGCTAGGATTAAAGGCGTGTGCCACCAACGTCTAGTGAGATGAGCCTTTTAAAACCTTAGTTTCCTATACATTTGGGAGATGTTTATTACATAGCAATGAATAGCTAATGACAGCTCAGAACAAACTTAAGGGAAGGGACCAGTTTGGTGAGAAAGGGTCAGGAGGATAGGTACAATGGCTTTAGTCTGACTAGGAGTCAGTCCCCCAGTCTCTTGGAAAGAGCACTGCTGATCAGCCCCCAAGGCAGGAAGTTAGGACTGGCTATATGCCCCTGGGAAGAGTGTGGTTCAGCCCTCAACCTTGGAATGCAAAGATGGCTCTATGCTTAAAAAAAAAGAATGTGTGACATATCATTGTCCCCAAATGAATGGGGTCACCCAGATCTTGAAATCTTGCCTTTGAGTTCTCTTACAGTCCTGACCTTTGGTCCTCATGCCCCTCAGTTCCTGTAACATTTTTTAGTTTAACACTTTTATTTGAACGAGGAACAGGGTTTCTTTGTGTAACAGGCCTGACTGGCCTCGAACTCAGAGATCCACCTACCTCTGCCTCCCAAGTGCTGGGATTAAAGGCCTGGCTTTCTGTAACTGGTCCTTCTGGGAGTCTGAGCCCA